TTAATAGAAGTAAACTCGTGGCAGATACGAGTGTTGCGAATTTCGAGCTTATGGCTGTCACCCGAGGTGCTGCCAGCTTTCCCCGTCATCACTGGGCTCCAGTGAGTACAGCCCTGTTGCAGGGCAGCTTTTAGGAGAGACCACAGTCCCGCTTCCAGGGCCTTCCTGAGTGTGGCTTTACAGTCTTCCATCCATGTGGTTCCCAGTGAGATGGTTTCCTTCCTGCCTTCTACACAAAACCATGCTAGTCTGGGGTTAGCCACCGACCTCTGTCTTTTGCTGTCACGTAACAGAGTGAGGGAAAGCAGCAACCCAAGTATAATCTGCCAGACCGAGTGAGCAAGAGACACCTATCAGAGGAAGGCATTCCTTGGAACATGCTGTTTGTACATATCTCATAACAAGTGGTCATCTTACATATTAATAGTTAAAAGTGTCAGTCGTGTAAATCTTCAGTGCCAAAACCCTAACTCAGTCACACCGGACCTGTTTTGCCTTATGATTCTATAATTCAAATATTCCCATATCACACACTTGATTTCCTACCAGTGATTTTACTGAGTGTCTATGCCTTCAAGCCCAAACACTGTACAAAGTCTACAGGGAATACAGAAATGAAGGAGACCCTGCCATGAAAGACCATGCCTTTACCAAGCTTAATGTTGTTCTCTAGCAAGAACTCCTGAATCACCTCTTCCTCCAGATAAAGACCACCTATATTATTTTCTTGAGCAATGGGAGACAATCATCTCTGTCAATGTGAGTGTTAAGCTGTTACTAACTTTCTGAAGGAACCAGCACCTTCTTTATTGACTTACTACCCTTGGATGTGTTTCCCATCGAATCTCTGAGCTATGTTCCCCACCTGCATGTTCATTGCTTCAATGCTGATGGCCTCCTCACAAGTCTCTAGACCTGGAGATCCGCCAGTTGTTCATTTTGCAAAAATTCCAAAGTCATCATATCACCCTCCTTAACCGCTCACTGAAGCTCTTTGGTGGCTATAAAATCAAACCTGGATTCCTCCATGGGCATTCAGATCCAGATCCCACTAAGGCACTAACAAGAAATTATGAGAGATTGCATAACCAAAATAATTTAGCCAGTAAAGTTCTCGGCCGGGTCTGAATGTGTTAAGTGAGACTCACATGTGAACTAGCCTCACCTGTAGTATTTAGGGCTGCATTAATTTTTTTGAGTGGCAGCTCACCTTTGTGCATATAAATTGGGTAATTACCCTGGTAAGTCAGAGTTTCTGCATTCAGCATCGGCACCTGTAAATATGAAGAGGGCAGGAAAAGAAGGCCAACAGAAACTTTGACCCTTAATATTTGAAAGCATCACTTTCTAGACAGCTGGAAGACTGAGAGGTTTGAAAAGGCCTAACAGGAAAAGAGGAGAGAAAAAAACCTACCCATTTTGTTTGTACATTATTTTCTATTTAAAGATAATAATGTGGTGCAGAAAAGTTGAAACACGAAAATTATATATTTGGTCGCCTCATCTCAACTTCCAGCAGAGTAACAATTGTCACAAAATTACCATACTTGTGTTGGACATAATTTGTTAGAAGTTGATGGCCTGAAAGCTCCCATCTACCCTGAGACTAGACCTGAGGAAAACTTGTCAAAGAGCAAACCATGTCCTCTGTCTTTCTGGAAAGAGCAACGGGAAGCAAGCAAAGCTTGCTGAAAATTAACTTGGCCAAATAGCCATAATTTGTAAAATGCTATTCACTAATACATAAAAATATCCATGTGTTGATATGGAATAAATAGCACAACCTCCCACGGCCTCAGTTCTGCCATTAGGGAATTAACTATGTAGGAAATAAAACTAACATTCTGGGAAAGCCTATTATTTATCTGTTGTCTCGTTCAATCTTAGTGTAACTGGCCAGAACTAGCCTACCTAAGAAAAACAGTGCTAATGACTGTTTTGTAAGTTTGCTTACAAGCTGAGAAGGCCAAGTGACCTAAAGTTGACCCCTTGAGCAAGGAAGGGTGTGACAATGCTGGCTGCAATAAAGTGACCAATCAGAACAGTACCAGTTCAATTCTTTATTTGCATAGAAAGCTTAATGGGCCAATGGGACTGGGGCTTGAGTTAACTAATCAGAAATGCACAAGTTGTAATGTTCATTTACATAAGGAACTTATGATTAGGAACTTAGGTAGGACTTATTCCTCTGTAAAAACAAACAAACAAACAAAACACCCTTTTAACATATGAGGAGGCAGATTTGGAATTTGAGTTATATAATCTGAGCTGTGATTATTATTATTATTATTATTTTATTATTACTATTATTATTAATTTTTTTGCCTCCTTGCTGACTAGCCAAGCAATGAAATTCTTTCTTCTTCAAAACTCAGTGGCACAATTCAGATTCTTGCATATCAGTCAGATTGGGTAATTACCCTAGTAAATCAGAGTTTTTGCATTCAGAATCAGCATGTGTAAATAAGAAGAGAGTAGGAAAAGAAGGCCAATAGAAACTTGGCCCTTAATTTTGAAAGCATCATTTTCTAGACAGCTGAAAGACTGAGAGGTTTGAAGAGACCTAACTGAGACCTTGAGTGGTAACACAGATAGGATTAGATACAATTGTCCCCATTTTCCAGGTGAGGAAACTAAGAGGTTAAATAACGATCCAAATCCCTTAAATAGGTGAGTGGTATAACAAAGACTTAAAGCCCAGTTGGTCTAGGTATGTAATTCCTGACTGGAGGTGGAAGAGATGGAAGGAGGCTGATTATCTCTTCACATGGCTGCTCCTCCTTTCCCCAGCATGGCTGAATGTCTGGAAGCAGGACACACAACCACTATGCTGTCAGGAGCATGTTACTTCCCTTAAGGATTGCATGGAATACACAATCCAAGATTGAAAGCCTTGGTCTAGCTTTAAAATTCTGGCAATATTATGTACTGTCTTCTGACCATCTTAAAGGTCTCTCATAACAGGAAAACATTTTGAAAACTTATTTATTTAGGTTCATTTATTCATTTCTTCCATGACAGAGAAAGACATAGAAAAAAGGCACAGAAAGACGTACAGAAAGCCCCCCCAAAAGGAGTTTCACGCTGTGATCCACCCCCAGCTTCTGCTAGCCTTAGGTCATGGGCATATACTTGCCCACCTGGCATGTTCAGGGAAGTCTCCAGACACAAACCTGGAACTTTCCCATGTGCATAAGCCTTGCAGAACTATGTATTATTGCTGTGCCACTGTCTGGCCCCTCAAAATTTTAGATTAATAGTCATAACACTAAGTCCATCCAAGAGCTTTGGACTTGATATGTGCAACATTTGGTCTCTACTGTTATTTTCAAAGCCAACATAATATTTGAACCGGTCATAGAGATGTCACAGGACTTCAGAGAGGGTAGAAATGACTTCCTCTGAACCAGTTTCCCCTGCTGATTCCGACACCGTGCCTTTTTACATTATGCTCTCTTTTATATTAAGCCATCATGAACATTCGCTAAAATGTAAATTAAATCTCAGAGCTTAACAGACTTAACCATTAGCCTGCTTCAAGACCCTGCACTTGTGCTTTTACACACACACACACACACACACACACACTGCAGTCCAAGACAACTAGATTTAGTTTATCAGATTACTCCTAGCAGAGTGCAGAATCCTAAAGGGATGGGCTAAAAAGCAAGTCAGTTTTGATGGGAAAATGATATCAGAACAGATGCAGAGCCCTGGGCACTTCCTGAGAGGCCATGGGGGAGAGAGGAGGCTGAGCAGTCAAGAATGACAGGGGAGAGGCTGGAGTCAGGGAGACCAGAGAGAAGACGGCAAAGCTCCTTCTCCTTGGCTGGCCCTGTTCTCTTCTTACCTGGCTCTTTTTTACCTGGCTCTTCTTAGCAATGATCTGAATTGATGGATTTGGTGTTTAAGATCTATTCTCTGTACAGGTGGTTTTTTCCTGGGGAAGAATGCACCTTGGTCACCACAGGGCCTGGTGAGAGCTGAACTGAGATAGGGAGACACAGACACAGACACACTCCTGGGAGCTTGTGATCCGATTTCCTAGAAACGTTTCCCTGTAGGCCCTTCCAGCTCCCAAGGCATCCTCCATGTGTGAGTGGGGCCAAATGTGTTTATGCAAATATCAAAGTTCTGACTTAGCCGTAGCTGATCAGCGAAATCTTCATTAGCGATACTGAACAGCAAAATTTGGCTCTGACAACAGACCTTTGACCAACTATTCATTGGAATTGTCAATGCTATATTAAGGAACCAACTGGCTATTTGTAGACTTTGGAGTTGGTTTATTTCAGTAGCCACACTTACATGCTGCATAACACGTAATCCCAAGGAAAGGAAAGGAAGCATAGGCTAAAGAGGTATTCCAGAGCTCTAGAAATCATCAAAAGAGATGCCATAAATATAAATTGGTAGACAAGCAAAAGTCTAGTAAGAATTACAATGGTGACAGTGATGGCAGCAAATTTGGCCACAAATGGTCTCCGTTATGCCCTCATTCACTCTGGATCTCCCCAGCAAGCAGAGGAGACAGGTACCGATATATCCCATCCTATGAACAAAGGAACTTAGGTACAGAAAGACCAAGTCAGTTGTCTCCAGTCAGACACTGGCTCCATATCCTTGCCCGCCTGGCCTCAGAGTGAGTGTGGCAACCCTGGGCTCAGTTACCTCCAAAGTATCTCACAACCCTCCTATTCCACAGGAGAATATCCAGTCCAGTAGGGGAGGAAACAGAGGTGTAACAGTGGACGGTAAGGGGTGAGCAAGGCATTAAGGTGCTGGATCCCAGATGGCCGACTACATGGTTCAAGTCCTGGACCTATGGCTTAAAAACCATACCAAGTGCATGTGCATACATGCCCGGGATCCCTAGAGGAGAATGAAGGAGAAGAGGTTTCGACGTGACCATCCCCTCTGGAAGAGGTGGTTTCTCACTTTCCCTCTCTCTGACAAGCACAAGCGCCCTATAGCAAATAGATAAATAAATAAATACATACATGAAAAGTAGAAGATGATGCAAATGGCCCCAGGTCTGCCTTATCATGCACCCAGAAAGGTGATGGAACTTCTGGAAGACCGAATGATCATGTTTCTTCCAGTTGTTGGACATTTTATAGCCAAGGGCTCTTAAATTGTGGGCTTGTAGATGACGAAAGCTCTATTTTTTCCAAGTGGCTTAAATAAATAACAAAGAGGAACAACAAATAAACACACATTTAGGGAATTGTAATAGGACTTTTCTCCAGAAATGAAATTTTACTATTTGCCAGATTTCTGTTATTGCTGGTGTATTTTATAATAGTTAACAAGAGATCTTCTCTCCAGAGGTCACATGAGGGTTGGAAATACCAGCTGTCTTATGAGAGATTTTGGTTTTGTTTTTAACTAAGGATCTATTACATTTGCCTATAAAAATGAGCCTGCTGCTTACCTTAAAGAAGTAGTATTGCAATCCTTCACTGTACGTGTAGGCTTCCTGAGTTGGTAGCTTCTTACTACAGGTCTCAACATACATTGTTCATATAGAAGTGCACATACAGCATGAATTGGGGAAAATGAAAAGAAGTTATTCAAAGAGAGAGGCCTAAACAGTATTTGAACACTAATTTAAAGTAATTTAAAATGATCTTCCTTTAAAATCATGCTGTACACTTTTTCTAAAGAGATGTTTGAGGGTGCTGATTTTACCTTTGAATATATGTATAGTAAACTTTACGCTTAAAAATGACCATAATGTTTTGTTCCTGTGTGGCTGCTAAATTGAGTCCAATGTTCACAATAGCCATTACTGGCCTTTCTATAAACCATTAACCATGAACACTGCCCCAGGCTTCGGTGGCCTAAAAGGCATCGTTTGTTCTGCTAAGTACTGGCACTTGGCCGTTTCTCTCTATTCAAACTCCACATTCACAAGTCTGTCTGGTGACGGGCTTTCCCATCCCTTTCATCGCACCATGTCAACAGGTCCTGTCCTATGGCGAGCTTTCTAAATTGACTCTCTAGTGACCTGTAAGGTGGTATGTGAAATGAGATCCTGGTCTCAGCATGTGACTTCCAACTCTTACAGCTCTAGATGAGTTTTTAAACAATCTGGAGGAAAGTGTGTGTGTGCATGTGTGTGTGTGTGTGAGAGAGAGAGAGACAGAGAGACACATGCATTGTGTGCGAACACTGACTCAAGCATCATCCAGAGACCTTGTATTCCCCAGCCCCCCAGCAGCCTCAGGGTATGTTTCCTATTAAGGATTTATTTTCCTCTAAGAAGTGATCTTTCTGGCCTCTGAAAGAGGTTCTATTCCCATTTAATGCCTGTTAGGAGCTCCCTGAAATTAGATTGAGCAGGTGGCCTCTGAATACATGTTTCAGTGCACATTATTCATACAGGAAATAAGATCAAGGCTGAGAATATCCAGTTTTTGAGATAGGTGACAAGGAGTCAAGTTGTCATTCTTGCTTGACCTTGGGCAATTCACTTAACCTGTATCTCTACCCCCTCCATAATACAGAAAAGTAGCTCCTTCCCCCTTCCTACTCCATTAGAGCATTCTGTGGGCAATTATATGAAGTGTTGGAGTTTCCCTGTATACTTGCCTTGGAAATACAGGAATTATTGGTATTATCATGATTAGACATTCACTCATGGTCCCGCGTGAGATGGGCATGTTCTGGCTGACATGCAAATAACAACGCATCCGATCTGCTGCAGCCACACCAATTCACAGCCTGCTGATATCTCGAAGTCTGCAAGTCACACACAAACTAGCCTCAAGCATACCATGGATCCCACCTACATTTTCAGGTAATAGAGCTTTGCTGACATGTGCTGCCACGTGCAAACCTCTCACCGGCATTCTCGCCCGTGGTTCAGTCTTGATCACGTGCAACGGCAATACGGAGAAGGTCACTCGGAGCCATGTTGAGTAATAAAGAAAATGCAAGCCTGAGTGCTAGATCCAACGGCCACATGAGTCTGAATGTCATTGCCCCCCTCTGGGCAGTAATCTATCCAACTGTCTCCCCGGCATTCTCACCAGGAGGCCTCACCAGCTGCTCAAAGCAGCACAATGAGGACTGCGCTTGCCCTGCTTTCTGCGAAGCACCCTATTTCCCCCACACAGCCACACGCTCAGTTTGAGGCAATTATTGGCAATTTCACTTTCTCCAGCAAATTGTCTCAATTTGGTTGCTTCATCCTTCCTGCCCAGTGAAGCTCCTGCCTGTTGACTCTGATACATCTTTCACAGAATCTCATTTTCATCCCTGTCACTAGAGCCCAAATGCCAACATACTGATTATTCTCACTGTGACAAATACAGTGTCTCTTCAGCAGTCTCTTCAGGCCTCAGTCTCCTGAGAAAACCGCTCCTTGCTCCCCTAGCCTTTTCGTAATATTCCACACTGAGGTCACCCTCACCCCCTTTCTCCTCAAAAGCACATCCTGGACATTCTTCGCATCCGTTCTGAAATGGCGTCTTCTCCTAAGTTCTGCTTCACCTGCTCCCTGCCTGTCAGTGTCCGGCATGACCCAGGCCAGCAGGACAAACCCTCCTGCCCCTGGAGACTATGGCCAAGCTTAATTTTAGCACTTCACAAATTACAGTAAGTCCAGCTATTCAGATCAAAGCATTCGCCCCTGCGTGCTGGCCAGATTCGGAGGCATCTTCCCAGCATAGCCAACAACCTCACGGATTCCTTCTGAGTCAGCCAAGCAGCATTCGGGCACGCGAAATCTCAGGACAAGTTCACACATTCGAACATGATGACTCGGGAGGGATCATTTAACATGACAGTGACGCTCGTCCTCTGATGGACACAGCAGGCCAGGCCAAGGACAGACGTAGCAGAAACACGTCCTCAGACACAGCCCAGAATCTGGCAAGGACGCCCGCACCGCAACAGGGCAGAGTGTGGGAGCTCCGCGGAGAGTGTCACGTCTGGGACACCCCAGCACACCCATCTGGGCCAACACAGCCTTTGTCGGATGACACACGTGATGTCGGTTCGATAAAGACGCGGGAGCCCAGCACCTCTAAAGCCCAGAATGCCCGCTCAGTCCCAGCACCTGTGACTACAGGAATTCTTTCTCAAGCTTGCAGACTGAACAACAGTCAACCAATTGTTTTGGCAAATATATTTCAGACTTCTTTCTGTTTTCTATACGCCCATTAAATAAACCCATGAGCAAGTTGATGACTCCTGATTGATTTCATCTCCTTATTGGCCGACGATGCAGTTAAAGAAATGCTAAGACGCCCTCCCCTCGCCTCCTCCCAGCGGCTCTGGGGAGGACATGCACACAGAGCTGGGTCCTGTCTGTTCTCTCAGAGTATCTCTGGTATCCCAAGAATTTAAATGTTAGGGATGTTGACAGGACAGCTGACATTTCCCATCTGAAGTCTGGACGGAGATCAGTCCTGCGAAATAGACCAATCTTGAAATAAAGTTCACTGCAATGTGATTAAGAGCAACTTTCAGAGGCCAAGTATTATCGGGTAACAGAGGCGAAGCAAGGCCCACTCTGGGCAGTTAAAACCTCAGAGAAGTTGAGTTTTGTATGTGCTACCTCGTTTTCTCTCTCTCTATATATATATATATATATATATATATACACATTTTCTTGCTTCATGTGAAAACTTAGAGAAAACAAATCTTCCTTCCATCTTTCCCCCTACATACTTTGTTACTTTCCTATATGTTCATTTTATTTGCAGAAGTAGTCTAATATTCCAAATTAACTAAAATTTATTTAAAGTAATGTGGATGATGAAATAAATCGCAAAACTGCAAGAAGGCAGGGACCTCCAAGATCCTAGCACTTTACCTTGTACCTGATGCATGGTGGGCACTCTCAGAATATTTGTGTCATAAATGGAAGAACAAAGACATTGAAGACATCTACTTCACAATCTGGGATTAAGAACCATGGGACCAGCAGTTAGCATAATGGCTCTGTCACTGGACTCCCATGTAGTCGACCACGGTTCGAGTCCTGGACCCAGTGGCTTAAACTCACACCGGGTGCGTGTGCGTGCGTGCCCAAGATCCCAAGAGGAGTATGGAGGAGAAGGGATTGCGTGTGTCCCTCCCCCCTCAGGGGTGATTTCTCACTTTCTGTCTGTCTGTCTCTGTCTTTCTGGCGAGCGCATGTGCCCTATAGCAAAAACCTTTCCAAAAACAAAACAAAACAAAACAAAAAAAACACAAAAGAACCAAATGACTGCTTCTGGCACAGAACAGAGATACAATACTTTCTGGTTCCTTTCCCTCTGCAAAACAACCAGTGAGTGACATCCCGATCTGTTCCACTTCCAGTTTTCATGGTTCAAGAATGTTGGGAGTGGCAGTTAGCGTTAATGGCTATGTCACTGGACTCCCATGTAGTCGACCGCATCCCGGACCTGGTGGCTTAAACTCATGCCGGGCACATGTGCATGCGTGCCCAAGATCCCGAGAGGAGAATGGAGGAGAAGGGATTGCGGTGTGGCCATCCCCCCGGGGGATGATTTCTCGCTTTCTGTCTCTCTATCTCTCTCTGTCTGTCTGGTGAGTGCACGTGCCCTATAGCAAAAAAAAAAAAAACTCTCAAAAAAAAAAAAAGAATGCTCAGTTCCCCAGTCTACCAGTCCACCAAAAACATCCAGGTCAGCAAGAAGCCCCAACATGCCAAGGAGGAGAGTCTGAACTTAGCTGACAAAAATCAGATATTGCTCCACAGTGTGTTAGCCCAAGAACTCTCCTGAAGGGTCTGAGTAAATACTTCCCTGCAGAAGGCGTGTGAGTGTTCAAAAGTAGCGCCCTCCCTGCAGAATGCCTGGCCAAAGCTCACCCTGCTTGGTACCCCCGACCCTGGGTGCCTTTGGTGGATCCCACTTCTACATTGCAGAGAAAAATCTGAAGCTGCAGTCCAGTTCTGGTTTTCTTGGTCAACAATGAAAGCTGAGCAAAAGAAAGCTCATGGATTTTCCCAGGTTTCACTACATGGTCTCACTAAGATGGTTTGAGTAGAATCTTTCTCAAAGACATAATGATGATCTTTAGACCTCTTGATTTTTTTCACCCCCCAAAAACCTTTGAATAACTTT